ATTTAAATTTTAACTCCTTTTTTTTTTAAATAAAATTTTGGGGATTATGAAAATCCAAATATATCAAACGGGTACTACTGATCTATGTAAAATAATGAAGCGAGGGTCAAACACTAGTCAACAACTTAAACATGTAAAATAAATATGGCAGAAGCGGTTAAAATAAATATGGAAAAAGTGAAAATATAGCAAGTCAGCGACTTAGCAGGTCTAAGAGTTTAATCACGTAAATTTTATGCAAAGACTGCAACACAAAATTAATCAATGCAATTCAAGATAAACAGTAATATAACTAAGGATGAATTAAAACAATGACTTCCCTTTCGTTCATTTGAAGAAGCTGTGTTCAACCAATTGGAATGAAACGTTTGAAGAAGCTCTGTCCAATCAATTGGAATGAAAGAGGTACCTGAAAAACAATGTTAAAAAAAAAAATAACTCTTTTTTTTTTTTTTTTTAAACTCACAAAATCGGATAAGCAAACTGTTACAAACTGAGACCCGAACAAACGGGACACTAATTGAGGCCCAAACTACAAGTCAGAGTCCGCTATATACATAAACAGTTGAGGCCCAATCTCAATATACACAAATTGACTAAGGTCCAATATAGCCAATCAAGGGTCGACTCGCGGCAAAGGAGTGGTCGACTGCTGGGTTGCTAACTGCGGTAAGTGCAAGTGAGTGTCGTCGTGGCGGTTGGTGCCTTGGGTGTCGTGAGTGGTAACTAAAGTCGCGATGGCTTGGATCGATTACTATTGATGGCGGTGTATGTGGTTGGCGAGATGTGGGTAGTGAATTATTGGGTGTTGACAGCTGGGATGTGAAGCAAGGGTTGTCGACGATGGCGCTCTTCGGGAATAGTAGTTGCAGGTGATGGTGCGATTACGTGAATGACTGGCTACTGGAGGTATTTAGGGGTGCTCATGGAATTATAATGGTTGCCGAATATGGGACTTTCTTTTTGGGTCGTTTCGTGTATATAGGCTGTGAGATTGTCGGAGGATAAAGTGGATTATAGGTCTGTTTGTGGTGGATGATTGTGGAAGCGGTTTACTTGAGGTATTTGACGGGTTTCACGGAGATGGAAGGTAGTGGATTCGAGGGGGTAGCCAGTCTTTTGAGTAGTGATTGTGGGCAGTTATTTTGTGGAAGCAGTTTACTGAGACGTGTATGAAGATGATGAAGGTAGTTGTTGGTTGAAGACGTGGTGGTGCAGTAGCGGATTTGCAGCAAAAAAAAAGGTTGCTGCTTGGTCTCTCTTTGGGAGGCTGCTTGGGTTGGTTACCAATTTAGAGAATTTGGTGGTGGTGGAAAGATGGTGAGGATGACATGAAGGTCATTTTGCAGCAGCAAATATGTTACGTTTGTGTGTATGGCTTTTCTTCACCTCCATGACAGTATATATATATATTTTGTTGGAGACTCTATATTGCAAACTAGGTTGGGCTCTGATACCAAAATCTGATGTAGGATAGTTGAGAATTTTAGAAGTTAAAATATTAGAAGATAATCAAATTGAAATAACCAACAGAAGAAGACAATTGGAAAAAGAAGAAGCAGACAGAATGAGAGTTAGAGAAGAAGAAGAAAGGGGAAGAAACTAGGGAAGGGAGAAAAACGTTGGTAGCAAACCACAATTCAATTAATTTATCCATCAACTGACTTTCAATCTCAGTTACAATAACATAAATAACAAAATAATAACTTGGGCTTGAGCCTGGGCCAAACCCATATGCAAGCCCAATTAGACGTAAGCCCAAAATAAATAACTAAAAGATAAAATGGGGATAATGTCCACATCGCTTCCCAGTTCAGAAGCACTCTCTCTCCCTTTTTTTTTTGCATGCCTTCATCATAGCCTTCAACGAGACTAAGGTTTTACTAAGACTCGGGTTCCCTTGCAAGGTGATGGCAGTTTCTCCAACCTAAAACTTCATCGTGAGGGCATTCCATTCAACTTTCGTCTGACCCAGAGTCCATAGCCACTTCATTCCCAAGATCACATCGAAACTTCCTAGATCCAACAAAAGGAAATCTTCCACCACCTCCACATTTTGAAGATATAATCGCACTTCCTTGCACACTCCCGCCCTTTGTACCACTAAGCCAGTGCCCATAATCACCCCCATAACCAAGTGTTTCTACTCTTGGTACTCCTAATTTTTACACCAACTCTGCTAATACAAAGTTATGGCTAGCACCACAATCAATTAACACAACAAATTCTCCCGCAATCCTCCCTTTCAATTTCATGGTTTGAGGTGGAGTAAGCCCTACCACTAAGTTCATCAATAATTCCACCACCTCGCCAGTGACTGACTTCTTGCCTGTCGTTGCTTCCTCAGCTAAATCTTCAGTTCCCCACTCATCTTGACGTTCTTCATCATAAATCAACATTACCTGTAGTTCCTTGTAAGAACATGCTCTATGGAATATTCTTCGTCACGGCGAAAACATAATCATTTTTCCTTCTTGTCCTTCCATTCGGCTTCACGAAGTTTCTTGAAGAATGGGTTGTTGGCACCGGACGAAGCTGGAGATCGCAGAATCGAGCTAGAGTTTGGGAGGATCGAAGGTTTATGGTTGGGATTCTAGAGCGTAATCTGTCGTCGGGAAGAAGGGCACAAATTGGTACTGAAATTTAACTTATTCCTTGTCGGGCTTGGTCCAATCATATGGGTTTGCATGGTCTGATTTTTTTCTTCAATTCACTGGCCAGCTCCATGATTTGGTCCAGTCATTTGGACTGCATCACTCTAATCTTAGCCGTAATCTCTGGTCTCAATCCATTTATGAAATGGCCTTCCAGTATAGCATCTGAAATGTCCCCGATCGATGCCGCCAAGGTCTCAAATGCAAGTCTATACGCCATCACTGACCCTTCCTGCCAGAGCACTAGGGATCTGTCCTCCACGATTCCCTCTACTGAAGATCTGAACTGAACTCTCATCAATGATATGAGTTCCTCACAACTACGCACAACCCTTCTCTTCTACTCCCATTGATACCAGGCGAGGGCCCCTTCTTCAAAACACAACGCTGATGTTTCTAATTTCTCCATCTTTGTCAATTGGTTCACAATGAAATAACGCTCCACCCTAAATATCCACTCATCCGGACTCATTCCTGTGAACAGCAACATCTCCAACCTCCTCTCTTTGATGTCTAGTCTCCATATTCCACCTGCAACACAACACACTTCCCTACTGCTCACCTCCACGCCAGTTGAAATTTCGGAGTGTATAGTGTACTCTGACTCTTTCGTTCCTTCCAGTCCTTTGCCTTTTCTCTCCTTTTCAGCCTCCTCCCATTTTGATCTCATGAAAGTGTATTGCACTGAAATGATTGCCATATTTTTCTCCATTTCTGTATTCTCTGTAACTCCACCTTCATCCTTTCCATTCCATATTGCATTCCTTCCAATTGTTCCAGTAACTTCTGATGAGCTCCTTCCAAACTCCCCACCCGATCAGACAAATTTACCATCAGGATCAAATTGCTCTGAAACCAATGATAGAAACCTAGAATTATGTTGATTTATCCAACACACTTTTAAAATAATTGAGAGCTCATTTCATTGTTGAACTGGAATTACACTAATAACAGATTTGTTATAAGAACAAATCTGGAATGCAAAAGAACAAATAAAAAAAAAAAGAAAATAACAACAATATAGATATGGACATTCAAGAGGTCCACCACTCTCCTAGTGAATACCAAGTTCTGCCTGCCTCCGAATTCAATTTTCCCCTCTTTATATGTTATTGTGCTGCTGGACTGTTCCATAACAATTTCTGTCATTATGCACGTGGCATCACTCTTCCTGCAGTTCCTTTTCTGCCCTAGCTTCCTTCTCGCATCTTTGATATGTAAATTGAATTGCTGGTCTATCACTTTTCTAACATTTCCAGATGCTAGGAGAAAGAAAAACGAAAGGCGACAAAAACAAGAAAACATATTGTAACAAAGCCAGTCAACAACTCATGGAACTCATTTTATCAACTCAACAACTCATATGGAACTCATAGGAAAAGAATCTGGTCAATTTGCATAAAATAGTGTCACTTAAGCCAATAGAAAACTCATTTTGCCAGAAAATCAAATTGATTTTGCCAAATCTTCTTAGAGAAAAAAATTAAATTTAAGTACAAAAGGATTTTTTTTTAAGACTAATACAATGAAAACAATAAATAATGTATGTGTTGGACTTATACGTGTTATTAGAAGATGATGAATTATAGAAAAGTGAGAGAGAAATCAACGAAAAGATTTACGTGGTTCGGAAATGTGCCTACATCCATAGGCACAAAGCAGAAATAATTCTTATTCAATATGAATAATAGGGTTACATAAATTATATATACACACTAACCCTAGCCCTTGCCTATACAAGACTTTAGGCCCATGCAAGGAAATACCCTAGGCCAATTTCATCTAGTAAACATGTATTCCACTCTATATGAGCCACATATACAAAAGTGTGGGATGACATTTTAGTACCAAAGCCTAAAGATCTTAAATGAGCCAATTGACCCATCTATAACTCAAGCAATCAGATTTGAAAATTGGTGTTAGCCAACTAGCCATCATCTTGTGGTGCATGTTAACCATAATATGATAACAAACCATATATTGAACGGAATTCTTAATTTTGCAAAAATCATCAAATCAAAATAAATCACCAAGGATCCATACTATCCACTCTAAACAACATACTCTATTGCTATACCTTTCAGTTATAACAACATATGAATTCGTGAATGTAAATCTCATTAGATTGGGTAAAAATCAGGAAAAATTTTGTAGTATTTACCTAAAAAAATTTAAATTTTATTTACGCATCTTGGTCCTTCAATTATTATTATTATTATTATTATTATTATTATTTGGCTCAGCAAGTAAGAAAAGAAGGTACAAGCAATGATGCACGATGTACAAATGATGAAAAAGATGCGACACTCATTGCATTTCAAATAGTGAAACTCCATGATTACTCACCGCCTCAACCACGGCGTCGTAGTAGCGAAGGTCATTTTCATCGAAGGAGTAGGATGCACAGACAACCATACCCTCGGTGACTTTATCGCACTCCTCGTCCTGCACTTGCCGTGAAAGTGGACGGAATCTGTTCATCGCTTCGTCCACGTCTTCCGCCGTCTCGAACTGGTCGGCTCGGAAAATGGTATCCGATGAATCGAGAAAGCCTTGGTACTTCACAGTTAGCCCCTCGCCACCTTCCGCCACTACCAACTTCACCGTGTACCAGGCGTCGTCGTCCGCGTGCCTGTACTCCAGGTCGTAACCTGCCGAGACGTACTCCATTAACAAAGTAGCACCTTTTTGCTACTCAGGCATCTAGAAGTGACACCGTGTCTATAAGAGATTGTACGACACTCAATAACGGCCCTTTAATTCCGGGTGGAGGAGGATTGCATGTTCGTTGAAGCTTAAAAATAATTACTATTTACTTATATACGAAAAAATAAGTAGATTTTGTAACAAAATTATCTTTCAGTTAAAAAGTAATGTTTTGAAATTTGCTCTGGCATCATCTAAAAAATGGGAGTTCATTGTTTAGATAATCATCCAATTTATACCATAGTCACGAATTACTCACTAAACTTCAAAATATTTTACAATGCTTACTAAAATTTGTTTGTTTATACTTTATTCATTACCCTAAAAAATTCATTGCCTTATTACCAAATGTGACTAACGAAAATCTCACATTACAATCATCAAAAAAATTACAACTCAACTCAATCATTATTTCATTTCTCATCCATCTTATACTTGATCACCCGTCATTTCGTTCTCTTCGTTGCTAATGTATCATACGAAAATCTTACATGACAAGTTACAATTGTTAAAAATTACAACTTAGTCAAATCATCGACTCACCAAAATTACTATATGCGAAGTATAACTTCACAACTCCATAAATTTCTTTAAAACCCAATAAGATATCATATTAATAAAATTTTACAAACATATGAGATCGTTAATAAGTAATAAATTTGAATGAGATTATAGTATCACTCAACAAATGAATACTTTTCAATTCAAGTTTACTAGGTATGATGGGATTCGAATTATGTAACAAAAAAGATAGTTTGATTTGATTTATGCTAAATTAATTAAGAAAACTCTAAAAGTTCGATTTTTATCAATTTATTGATGATTGTATTGAATTTTTAATCCGTCTATTGCTATCTATTTAAATTCTTGGTTTATAATTTAGTTGCATTCATGCATTCATGACATCGATAAAACTAATATATTTAACTTTCTTCTTCAAAATAAATTGAATTTATTCTAATCTTAATCCAAATCTATTCCTAATCAGAATTTGAATGATTAGAATGTATTAAATTTTAGATTATTGATAAGTGTGTTTTTACACACTTATTTGGTTCACAAACATGACTTAAACATGGATAAAATGGTTGAATTGTGACTTAATCCAGTTAAATTCATGCATTGGAGGTAATTCAATGGAAATTGTGGAATTCAGGAGAAAAGAGCCGAAGAAGGACCAAAACGCAACAATTTGATAGCTCGAGGACCAACAGTGCAATTATTGAGAAGTTAAGCTAAATGCAGAACAACAGTAAAAACATGTCGAGTATGAGCTCAATGACAAAGCAAAACAATTGGAAGAAGAAAGAATGGAAGATGGACTAAAATGAAGATAATTGAAAGTTGGAGGACTAAAGTGCACATACTCAAAAGATGTGCCGAATGAGTGGCATAATATTTGAAAGTTTCGATCATCAATTGGAAGATAAGAATTGTTGAAAAGATGAAGAAATCGAAGAAAGAAGTATAGAGAAGCAACAAAGAAGTTCAGGGACCAAATTGCACAAACCACATAGATGGCTACTTCTATGCGACCGTATAGTGTAACCTTCTATGCGGTCGCATAGAAGGTTGTAGGGAATTCAATGAGCCAAAAAAATGATCTATGGACCGCATAGATCCCTTCTATGCGGTCCCATAGTATGGTTTTGCAACTTCGGGCATAGTTTTTCGTTTTCGTTGAAACTCCTTTCCTACTTAATTTGGATGCGATATAAATATCCAAATTCATCATATTAAGAAGAGGAACGACCAGGGAGAAGGGAGAGACCAAAATTGGAGGCAAGAAACTTGATTTTGGATTCAATTTCGCACGGGTTCGAGACGGGATTGAAGATTATACACACGGATTGAAGAAATTCCATACGGGTGTATTCTTATCATCTTTTAATTTCGTTTTTCAATTTCTTGATTTTGTAATGATGATTATAGGCTAGGGTTTTTGTTCATTAGGAATTTGATGAACCTTTTGATGATTTAAATTTCCATTATTTCATTAATTCAACAATAGTTTCGATTGGACAAATGTTTGATTTATATGATTTGAATGCTTCCATAATTATTTGGCCAATTGTACATGATTTGTTCTTTGCATTCGAAAGAAGGGAAATAAATTCGATAGAATATAAATTGACATAGGGTCCGATAGGGGATGGAAACTTACCTCTATGCTTTATGCAATTCATGAAGATGTTCATAAAAAGTCATGCATTCTTGTACATTGCATCATCCATAGAAATATAGGCTGGTGGTGTGTAAGAGTAGATTCAATATACATCGAGAGAGTGTATTGGATAATTTAGGAACATTGAATTGGCATTTTGTTCTATCGATTCGTTGAATTTGTGAAATTAGGGTTTTTAATAGTCAATTGGGGATTCGAGTTCTTAATGATTTCATTTCGATTCACTTCAATACAATAGTTCTAAAATTGCATATTTACATTTCAGTTGCGTGTTTATTTCATTCGATTAGTGAAATTTCGAAATTAGGGTTTTCTTTGCAATTAGGGTTTCAAATTGGGGATTTCTTCCAAAATTAGGGCTTTTCACATTTAAACCAAATTTTTATTCAATTAGATTCGGTTAAGGTCACATTAGTCTAATTAGAGCTAATTCAATCCTCATGGGAACGATACTTGGACTCATAGTCCATTTTACTACTTGTTAACGAACCGTACACTTGCGATGGGTTTTAAAATCGAAAAGAAATATTTCGTGAACAAGTTTTTGGCGCCAATGCCGAGGATTAATTTTAGATTTAATTCTATCTTTTGTAACACTAATTCGAACTTATTCATTTTAGTACTTGTTAATTTTATTAGATTCATTTAATTATTGTTTATATTGACTTTTTGTGTTAATTTTGCTATATCAGGATTTGCATGCAAGGAGCACCTGATCAAGACTTGGTCCCTATAGATCCAAAGATTGAACGCACATTCCGTCACAGGCAAAGGGAAGCAAGAGTGGTACAACAAATGGCTAACGAGCAAAATCGACCGGGAATTCCACTCAACAAAGGTGTGGCAGTGGAAGAGGATGGAAATACGGTACTTGGGGATTTCATGGCACCATTGGTGGTGCAAAGTCAATCTAGTATTGTATATCCTCCATTTGGGCAACCGAACTTCCAACTGAAGACAAACGTGATTCAACAGTTTCAGAATGGGCATCAATACCATGGGATGGCCAGTGAGAATCCGCATACACACATATCTCGATTTCTTGATATGTGTCAACACTTCAGATACCAAGGTATCTCTGATGATGCTATAAGACTGCTCTTGTTCCCGTACACCTTAAGGGATAAAGCACTCGAATGGCTGGATTCACTCCCTGTCAGAAGCATCACCACTTGGAACGAGCTAGCTCATAAATTCTGCACCAAGTTCTTCTCGCCAGCTAAAGTAGCTAAAATGCGGCATGACATCTCAATATTCAACCAGATCGAGTCAGAGTCATTTGAAGAGGCATGGAACCGTTTCAAGAACATGTTAAGGAAATGCCCGCAACATGGCTTTGACAAGAAGACCCAGATCAGATTTTTCTACACTGGATTATTCCCATCATTCAAGAGTATGGTTGATGCATCATCTGACGGGTCTATCTCTACAAGAACAATTGACGGAGCCTGGGAGTTATTTGAAAGGATGGCTACAACTTCAGCTATGTGGTCTACAGATCGAGTAGTTCAGAAGAGAACACCTGGGGTGTATGAAGCAGAATAACCGCCACTGCTAAGCAAGTTATGAAGCAGAGTTGTGAAGAATGTGGAGCTGATCACAGTACTGCTACTTGCCCAATTCTGGCACAAAGAGTAGAACATGCAGAATTCGCACAATGGGGTCAGCGCCAGCAGAATAACCCACATTCAGAAACCTTCAATCAAGGCTGGAGAAAACACCCAAATTTCTCTTGGAGCAACCAGAATCAAAATAGACCACAAGGGCAATATCAGCAGCAAGACAAAAACCCAAATTTGGAGGATATGTTCGAGAAATTTATGGCACACACAAATTAGTACATGGAAGCCAATAACCAATTTATGCGAAGGACGGAAACAACGCTTCAAGATCAAAGTGCAGCGATCAAGAACTTGGAGACACAAGTGGGACAAATAACAATTTCCATTACGGGTAGAGCACCAGGAAACCTACCCAGCAATACTGAAGTTAACCCTAAGGAACATGCAAAGGCTATAACAACCAGAAGTGGAGTACAACTACCGGAACCACATGTAACAAGTTCGGGAGCCAACAAGGAATCAATGCCAACCTTGGAGGAAGAAAGTGGGGAGCAAATGCAACGGGAAATGAGGTTAAGAGGAATTCCAAGACATCACAGGATAAAAATACTAATCCTGTTAACTCTCATGAACCTCCTATTCCGTTTCCACAAAGGTTGAGAAAGCACAAAATGGATCAGCAATACAGTAAGTTCCTTGAAGTCTTCAAGAAACTGCATATCAACATTCCATTTGCTGAAGCACTTGTCCAGATGCCGAGCTATGCAAAATTCCTGAAAGATATCCTCTCCAACAACCGAAAAATAGAAGAACACGAAACAGTAATGTTGACTGAGGAATGCAGCGCCAGAATCCAGAGAAAGCTACCCCCAAAACTGAAAGATCCAGGGAGTTTTACTGTACCTTGCGCTATTGGAGACTGTTATTTTGATAAAGCTTTGTGTGATTTAGGTGCAAGTATTAATCTAATGCCTCTTTCTGTTTTCAGGAAACTCGGCTTGGGAGAAGCAAAAGCCACAACAGTAACATTGCAGTTAGCAAATCGATCCCTTACACATCCAAGAGGAATCATTGAAGACGTGCTGGTAAAAGTGGAGAAGTTCATATTTCCAGTTGATTTTCTTATCTTGGACATGGAAGAAGATAAAGATGTTCCACTCATTTTGGGGCGACCTTTCTTAGCTACTGGGAGAGCAATTATAGATGTTCAGAAGGGGCAGCTGATATTAAGGCTTGGTGACGAGCAAATCTCATTCAACGTGTTCAAAGCAATGAAATTCCCTACTGAGGCAGACAGTTGTTTCCAGATCGATGTAGTCGACCGAATAGTTCAAGACACATTTCGGCT